CACCGGGAGGACGCGCGGCCCCGGCTTGGGTCAGCGCACGCTGCCCCGACTCGGCTACCTCACGTTACCGGGGCCCTGGCTTTGGGCGCGGTCTACCGCACCACCTAACAGGCGTGTTCGAAACCACAGGAGATGATGATGAACGTGTTTATCGAAACTTGATTGGATGAGCCTATCGGTAATAGCGATTTCAGTGTGTGCATTTATTGTTCATAGTGGTGTGAAATGTGGTTGGGGTACGACCGACAACCCGTCGGGGCGAATTTCGCACTGGGGTACTCAAAATTTGAAGAATTTAAGACGTTTCCATGAGTTTTGAAGGTATGGATAAGTTCTAAAAATCCGGTTCTCCTTATCTGGGCCATACGGTCCAGGAAAGCTGGCACACTACCTTTAAATTCATGATCATCCCCTTGGAGTTTTCCTGTATCATCCCTTGGTGCTCGCATGGCTGAGACAAAAACGAGTAAGATTCTGGCCTTCAATGCGCCTTTTCACGCAACACGATCCAAAAAAAAAAAAAACAAACAAACAAGGTATTGGCTCAGAAGTGTTTGACAGGTGATTTTGAGCATGCAAGACGGCGTCTATAACGCATTTAGGTCTTCAGCTTTTGGAGGGGGGGGGGGTCAGCTGACCCTCTCAGACCTTTTGGGGGGTCATGACCCCGTGGACCCCTCCCCCCAGGATCCGCCACCAGTAGCGGCGGAACACCTTCAATTAAGGGGGGGGGCACTGCCGACTTTTGGTCCCATTCTTTCCATGCAACGCCCATAGGGCTCATGCAAAAATGCCAAATTCGAAGGGGGGCATGGTTTCCCGGTGCCCTCCCCGTTCCGCCGCCTATGTCCGCCACTGAATTATTCATGCGTTGCTGTAGGTACAGCCCTCTGCAAACTGCGTGGTAAGTATTCTTTTTTCGACTAAAACGAGAATAATGCGCATACTATGCTATCGGTCATTCGCAAATCGTAACAGGAAGACACGCGAGACTCCGCACCTTAGATTGGCATCATCACCGTATTCGTTTTCCTTCTAGTTCGACAACAAAATCCAAAAGTTTATATTTGCCCCCAAAACAAACTTTTGCATTTTGTTGCCACACAAGGCGTATACTTTGTTTAGTGATACATCTAATCGAAGGAGTGGAGCATGGCGCATCTATTTGCAGTGAGTTCTGACCGACTGATAGCATAGCCTCTGAGTTATTACCGGTTTTGTCGAAAAAAGAATACCTACCACGCAGTCTGCTGAGGGCTGTACGTAGGAGGTAGGTGAGAGGAAAGTATGTATGCCTAGCAAACACCTTTCTGTCAAATTTTCAACAAGTCCACTACTGGACCTGGATCACATGGACTCAATGAGGGCCCATGGCCCTCTGATGGTTCACGGAACCATTAAGGGCCAACTAGTTTGCTGTGCACTACGACTCATTGAGATTTACTCACTGATATAGGGCTCCGATGCTTGGAATATGAGATTTAAAACACTAATACAGGCCAAAATGGCTTATTACTTTTTTAACATAAGTCAAAAGGGTCCACTTTCGTTATATATTAGGTCCCCCAGGTCCCCCCAGGAAATGGAAATAATGGGGCCGGGGGGGGGGCGGTCCCCCGGTTTCTCCGGCCCTGCCGCGGACGGCGCTCGGCTCGGCGGTGGTTCGGCTCGGCGGTGGTTCGGCTCGGCCGCGCCCAGTCTCTCGCCTGTACCGCCTTGCATAGGTGCAATTTGTCGGCAACAGACGCCTCACAAAAATGACGTCATTGACACTGTGGGTCTTTGCCCAAAACACCATGATTCAAGGAGATTAAAATGTAAGAATAAAAAGTGCGAGAAATTCATAACTTGGTGTTCACACAATTAGTGGCAAAACATGTGACCATTCATTAATCTACGTCAACTGTAACTTATAATATGTTAGGCTCACAACTTCACATTCACCCTACGTATGTACGTTTCACGTTTGCAGGGCCATCCACAATAATTTGTTTCTATTAGGTAGGTACTGCCCAAAGTCACATGATGATTGGTAGACATGCAGGTTACAGGTTACAGACATGACAGTCAGGGAGTACGAAAAACACGTCACGCACTTGACACTCGGGGGCACATTTATGTCTATGGTCGGACTGCTTGTGTAGAACTTGTATTTAAAGTGTATTTAAAATGTTGCTTCGAAGGAAAAGGTGAAAACAGCACTTTTATCCGTTTTTAGGCACATTTAGAACTGATAGATTTCTCTTTTATTGAAAGCTAGTATTGCTATTGTAGTAATGTTGGAGCTGATAAAAAACAGATACAGATACAGATGTGTATTCATCTAGGATCCACAATAAAAGTGGCTTTTCACCAGACACGTAAAACCAGATAAAACGGGGAACATATAGACAGTACGAGTAGGCATAGATATCACTGGCAAACACAAACAAGCGTGCGACTGGAACAGGTTCAGACAGCTACTCGGCGTCTCGACATGATCACACGCTTCACATTGGCGCGAAACGCTGGTATATACGGGCTCAACTCGGTACCGTTTAACATCGCGACTCCTCTAATACATAGTCGACGTCTCCCCGTCTCTGTTCGGGCCCGTGGCTGTGTTATCAGCCCTGCGTTTCGGGTGTTGTGGTCGTGTATGTCGCGGGCTACAGGACCGATGGTATCACTGATATGTTCAGGAGTACCCGATGTGATGGCTCGGTGGACTGCGCAGATAGTGTGGTACTCGGCTAATTCGTCTGCCCGCAGCCAGCCGAGCTGCTGTATGACGTCAGAGATGTGGTCGCTGCGTCTACGGCCACTGACGACTCTGGCACAGAAATTGAGAATTTTCTGGACACGAGCCATCTGGGTCACACCGCACGCCATACACGCTTATACAATACCGCACGATCGATATGACTAGGGCTTGAACAACTACCTTACGTGTGTTTGCTGGCATCACGTGGCGGGCATGACTGAGAGCGATTAAAATTCCTGTGCATTTTGATGCCATGGCGGTGATGTGAGCTTGATAGTTCAGATGGCGGTCGAGATAAAGTCCGAGGTTCTTCACCGTCCCTGCATCGACTACAGTTGAACCACAAAAGTTGACAGTGACGGGCGGGAGTCCACGCAACATTGCTGGTGTGCCCAACACCAGCATCTGTGTTTTGGCGGCGTTAACTTTCATGCCATTGTGGCAAAACCATCGGTAGGCGGCGTCGAGTGCGGCCTCAGTGCGTGAAATGATACAATCCAAATCCCGTTTCTTTCCAGTGACCAAAATTTGAGTGTCATCTGCAAACTGTACTATGGTGACTCCGTCGGGCATGTGCAGACTGAGATCGTTAGCAAAAAGCATGTACAAGGCACAACTGAGACTACCTCCCTGGAAAACACCAATGGTGTTTTCTCTCGGTCGGGAGGTGATACTGGAGCCGTCAGCGGCGCGGACTCTGACCTGTTGCACATGCCCAGCCGGCAGCCAAATAGTTAGCGAACCAGTCGGTGTCGATACCGTATAGGCTAAGTTTTTGCAGGAGTTTTTGGTGAGACACGACATCAAAACATTTTGAAAGATCCAGTAAGACCAAAATTGAAATTTCACCGTTGTCCATGGACTGAAGAATGCGGTCAGTAATGACGTTGAGGGCCGTCTCAGTGGAGTACAGTCTCCTGTACCCGTGTTGTTCGGCTGCCAGCAGATAATGCTCGGATAGGTAGTCGATCAGCTGGGTTTGAACTATGCGCTCAACTATTTTCATTATGCCTGGTAAAATGGAAATAGGGCGCGTGTCTGCTGGCGTGTTCCCTGCTTTGCCTTTCGGTATTGGTGTCACTATCGCGTGCTTCCATCCAGGTGGAATGAGACCAGTCGATAAACTGGAGTTCACGATGTCGAGAATAGCATGGCCAATGCCGGGAAAAAACGTCTGCAACATTCTAACACTAACACCGTCAACTCCGGTGGCCGTTGACGGTTTCATACTCAAGAGTGTGGAGTACAGTGTGTCAATATCGGTGGGTTGGACCTTGAACGTGCCTGAGGTAACGCGCGGCAGCCTGACAGGAACCGGAGCGGCGGGACACGGCACGGCAGCGGCTGTGGCAGGTCCTATAGTGACATAGTAGTCATTTAGTGCGTCGGGCGTGACCGCAGGTGGGTCGGCATGTTGCTGCTTGCGTCCTATCACGGGCTGTAGAACACGCCACAGACTGTGCCACCCTCCACGGTTAATCTGCTGCTGATAGAAGGCTCGACAGTCGCCTCGAATCGCAGCCTTACACAGCCTATTCACCTCGCGATACTCGTCCCGGGAGCCGCGTGTCCGAGCCGCGCGCCGCAGCCTGAGCAGCTCCTGTGTATCAGGCGATACCGGGGGAGTAGCTGCCGGTCGGACTGTCACCCGGCGAACTGGGGCCACGGTATCCAGCTGTCGCGTGAACAGTTCACAGAAGGCATGCCATTTCAGTGCGGGGCTGTCAGACAGGTACACACCGGACCAATCACAATCAAACAGCTGGCGATTGAAGGCAGCAACATCAACACGACCGAAACAGCGCCGCTCGACTCTCTGCTGGTTTACACTGCCGGGGGGACCCTGCCGCTCCAGAATAACGCGGGTAAAGTCGTGTGGACCTCCGAAGTGACACCGGGTCACGCCGGCTCTGCGCACAAGGTCCGGGCGGTTCGTGGCAACAACATCGAGAAGAGAACCGGCAGGTCGGTAGGTGGGACGATCACGGTTAGCTATGGTCAGTCCGTAAGTGTCAAACAGGTCGGGCAACATGCGTTCGCGGGCACTACCCCTGGCCTTAAGTAAACAACAGTTGATTAGTGTGCAGCCGCCATCCCACCTGTGTAGGACCCTGCGCTTCTGGCCTGCACCAGTGCATTGCGCTGATAAGATGGCGGCAATGTGAACGCTGTGCGGGAGACGCGGCTGGAGGCGCTGAATTCTCTGCTCGGCTGAGGCGGCCGGTATATCTCGGCTGATGTCGCCGCATCTCCCCAGGTGAAGCAGATTGAGAAGCAGGACGCGGTGCTGACGTCGGCGCAGCAGATAGAGCGTCTGCTCCGGCCCGGCGCCACCTACCGCAACTTGAACCCCTTCGAGGTGCTCCAGATCGACCCGGACCTTCCCGTGCAGGACCTTAAGAAAAAGTACAAACGGGTATGTGCTGCCGGCCGGCGCCGGATACCTGCCGCCCACGCGGCGGCCAGCCAATGGCTCACTTCCTTACAAACAATTTCCATCCTGACTGGTTTGATTTACAGTTCCTATCGGCTCTCTCACCCATTCAAGGGACATTCCCACCTTGAAAAGTCAATGAAAAATAGCTCGAAGCTGATGTGGCTTCGTTCAGAAGCGTCGTTAACTCATTAGTGGCGTGTGCGATTAATTTTCCACCTGTTAAAGTGACCATCCCACCTTAACCCTCGCCCCGTCGGGGAGGCGGGCCAATATGCCCCCCTGTGGTTTTTCCTGAACAGCAAGAAAAGGGCGCCGCCAAATTTTCAGTACCTTCCCGGGCATCAATTTGAAACCTTCACACAAAATATCAAGTCTTAGGTCACCTTAGGTCATGAGTTATTGAGGTCAAACTGAGGTCATGTTAGAACAAAATGACCAAAGAACATAAAATCTTGAAACGCTCACAAAAGCTACAGTTAAAAGCAATTTCAAAGTTCTTTATGTGGATGTGTAGAGAAAAGACGGCGCTACAAATCTGCTGTCTCGGATTTTCATAATTTTGCGATTTTGACCCCAAAAAATTAAAAACTGATTGTTTTAGTAAAACGCAATAAAACCCCTAACGTTTTTCGAATTTCGAAAAAAACGGAATATGTAGGATAGTCAGTGCGCTCTTCTATCTCTATACCAAATTTAAGATCAATCCCTCCTTTTTTGGCCAAGATATAGCAAAAAAAAACTTGACAAATTGATGACGTCAAAATTTAACTTAATTTTAAGCAATTCTGGACCACGTAGCACAAAACAAAGACCACCATTAGACTCCCCGTGACAAGCTGCATCGAATCGATATCCATTTTATGCAAAACTATCAACTTTGAAAATTAAACTTATTTTACCTGACCTTCGCCAGAACATAACCTAAACCTGCCCCAAAGGCTGCCTGAGCCACATAATTGCAATTGCCATGTAAAATGGACCATAAAACATGCATTACATGATATTTTCATATTGTAACCGTCAGTGACCTGACCTCTAAGACCTGACCTGGCATCAGTGACCTCAGATAGCGAAATATGTGTTTGACAAACAATTCCTCATCGATGATTTTCAATGACATGCATTTTACTCGATTTTACAGCACATTTCTTGAAATGCCTGTAAACGGTGAAAATTCGACATTTGACCTGGCCTGTGTTGTCATCGGTTAGACTGAGGTCAATGAAATTGGGTCAAAAGGTAGTTCCCCGCTGGGGCTATCCAACGCTGTTTGCCGCTTGCCCCTCATCAGACCGCGTTGCTCGGCAGACCCCATCAGGGCGTGGGTTAACATTAGTTTTGAGTTGAGATAGCCAAAATGGGGTCCCTGGCTTGCACTTACCAGTTTGAGCTCTCACAACATCGATAAATGCCTCAAATCGAAAATATCTAAGTTCAAAGTTGCAGCACTTTGGATTCAGAGGAGCTGATGCTTTTGAATGCCCCCTCTGAATGTGTGACGTCAGCGCAGATCTAACGATTTTAAATCTTTTACTAAAACGTTTGGTAGCACGCGGTGGTATACGCTGCTTTGCGCGCAACAAGTGCCGCACTTTCAGCGGCCAAACTATTGCTTCCAAATAAAGTCGCTAGGAGTAGGAACAGCGGAGATCGCCAAAAGTAAACAAAAGTGAAAGTCGAATATCTTGAAAACCGGTGAATATTTTTCGGTGAGATTTAGTAGCTATTCGTTTTCGCTCTTTCTCAGCCGAGCGACATCACTTTCATGCCAATTCATTAACTTTTTTGAAGGTGGGAGGGTCCCTTTAAGTCTATAGAGCCCGTTATGTATTTGAGCACTTTTGGCGCGCTTCCAGTACGCATTAGGCCATTAATTTACATACAGCCGACTGGTTTCTTTCAGATGTCCATTCTGGTTCATCCCGACAAGAACCCGGACGACAGGGAGCGAGCCCAAACGGCTTTCGATAGTAAGTTGGAGCCGGTATTGATGAGCACTGATACGCGGTCGTTTGTGTGATACTCATCTCTTATTCGGCTCTCGCGAATTTTCTGTTTCCCTTTCCCTCTTACTTTTCCGGGATATTTTATAAGCCGCTGAACGTATCAACAGGAAACTATAAGTACTTTCGCTGTATAATATCCAAGAAGGATAAATGATAACAATAACAAGTTAAATGTATATTAAGACAAACAAAGCTTTTGGTATGAAAATACCGAAAGGTTTGTGTGTCTAAATATACATTGGACTTGTTATTGTTGTAATTAATCCCTCGCTGTATTAATTTGACACCTTTTGTCCAATAGGAAAATGTAGCATGTGTCGGCCGGAAAGGACGTAATGCTCGGACGATTTTAGTTGTAAAACAGGAACGTGCGGCAATCGATCTCAGGAGCTTAGTTTTGAGCTAACATCATTTTCCCCGAGATGACTCAGCTCCCACCAAGGGGCACTGAACCCGCGCCTTGTTCTCAGCCAACTTCGCCATGGTGAGAGAAGTGGGGTGGAGCGTATTTGGCCACACCAGGTTAGCTCGGAAAGTAAGGAAGCTAGAAATACACTGAAATAGCAATATATAGCTCACAATCAGATCTTTCAGAATCATTCAGAGCATTTCTTGATCAGGTCATCGTTGAGGTCACTGAAGGTCACCAAAAGTAGAATTATCACGAATTTTGTTTTCTGATTGTGTTTTTTTTTCTGCAAAGCGGTGCATAACTCTGGAATAAATAGAGCTATGCATTGCGCTGCGGAAAAGCGCATTCGATGGGTCTTTCGAAGCTTTTTTGAGTGATGTTTCCAGATTTGACCTAGAGATATCAACCTGAATGAGACAAATAAGATACCGATGCTAAATATAGCGGTAACGACCGATGAACAGCACAGAGGTGCTGAGCTCAAGGCTCTCTACGATCGGCATTATGAGCAAACGAGCTCATAGATCGAGGTCATGAAAGGATTGGTCGAAAAGGTTTCGCCAAGGCATCAGAAGCATTAGCTAACTAGTACCTACCGATTGCAAGCTACCCCTACCATGTATCTTGTCAATAAATTGACCAATTTTAGCGCAAACTACAGGAACTCCTTTTCTGCTCTGGACTGCTATGGCACAGCTGTCAACACACGCAACTACCTAATACACTGTCCAGGGGCGTCGTTTTGTATAGGCCTGGTAGGGCCCGAGCCCTACCAATGTTTATTTGGGCCCTACCAATGTTCGCTGAGCCCTACCAATCTTTTGTCACTTATCAGTTGGTAAAAAATCAAAATAAACAGATAAGCAAATAAGCATATATGTATACGGCCCTCCAGGTATTAAGTGGTTGGTTGCCAACATCACAATAAGCGATCTGCATTGATGAATACGTCTAATGGCTATTGAAAACCACTGCCGAAATGTGTGCACGAACCCTCTTCTCATTTCTATTGAGTCATTTTACAGGAGTGTCTCTGTCATTCAAAGTTATTTCACCAAAAGCACATAGGCTAACCAACCACTCTTTTGCTGGTGGGCCGTACAGCCGTCACAGATGTGTGTAGCCTGTGGGCCGTAGGAGCTGCTGTCGCGAACCCTTCGCAAGCTGGCAGGGGGTTCTTAGGGAACGGCAAGGGGTCCTCACTCCTCAGGCCGGCAGCACCTTCAGAAGTTCAGCGGGGTCCTTAGAGAACGGCACGGTACTATCAGACTCCGGTGGGATCCTCAGAATTGCCGGTGTGGGCCACGCAAAAGTCACCGGTGGGTGTCCGTCAGATGCACATGTGTGGGGCTTTCAGAGGCGCCGGAGTGGGACCTGCATAGTCGCCGGTGAGGGCCCTCTTCTACACTGGTTTATGGCCATCACAGATATGCGTGGGACCCTTAGAGCTGCTGAGCTGAGTGCTGGTGCGGGCCCTTCATAGGCCGACAAGGGGACCTCAGAGGTCGGTGGTGCCTTCAGCAGCGCCAAGGGGGTCCCTTTAGACCGGAATAGTATTCTCAGACGCCACTGGGACCCTCAGAGTCACCAGTGTGGACTCAGTGGAGCCGTCAGAGTCGCTGGTATTCGTATTCGTATTCGTATTCGTTTATTAGGGCTTTTCCAACAGAGTGGCTATTACGGCCCAGTCAGTAGGTACATGTAAATATCACATTGCTAAAAAAAAACTATGCTAAAAAACACATAGGTACACACATATACATATAGGCACAAACATGCAAAGAATAAAAGAGTATGAGTCAAATTTTGCGTCAATCAATGCTGCATTTTAAAATGCTCCATCAGCTGTCGCCTTGAGGCGGTCGCCGTCACCTCCCGCGGCAAGCCGTTCCAAGCTGCGGCAGCTCGGTTGGGAAACTGCCGCCTGGCCACCGCCAGGCGGACTCGGGGCAACTCGATCACCGCCGGGCCCGCGGCGACGGCGCGCGTTGCCCTCTCGGAGACGGAAGCGCGTGAGGGAAACATAGCTCGCAACGACTCGGGGGCTGGTGTAGGGCCTTAGGAGCCTCTGATGAAGACCCTCAGAACTGGGGGAGAAGGGGCCTCAGAAACGCCGGCGTGGGCTCTCAGAAACGCTGGTGTGGGCTATCAGAGGCACTCCTCACAGTTATTGGGGCCCTAAGAGAATTGGTGTTGGACCATCACAGGCGGGCATGCAGCTCGTAGAGCCGGCTCCTAATAGGCCGGTAAGGGCCCTCAGAGGCCACCAATAGGCCTTCGGAGCCGAGGCCACCAATAGGCCCTCGGAGCCGAGGCCACCAATGCGCCCTCAGAGCCGAGGCCACCAAGGGCCCTCAGAGGCCAGCAAGAGATTCTCAGAGACCGTGAGGGGCAGGCTGGTAAGGGGCCCTGGTGACAAGGGCTCTAAGAAGCCGGCGTGGGGCACTTACGTATATCTTAATACGCCACTTACTATAGATGCCCATGAGATGCTCTGACGAGCCCTGTGGGGTCCCGTTGAGACGAAATATGGCCAGCGTGGACCCTCAGCGGCCGATTGGCGCCGCAGGAACCCGAAGGGCCCACTGGACCCGATGGGAGTGGCATGTGCCCCCTTTGCCCGCCCCTCCCACCCCCCCCCCCCCACTTGGCTACGCCACCGGAATCTATTCTGTTATGTTTAAGATCTCTGCAAGATGTATCCCCCGTTTGCTGACTCTGCAGAGAAAAGGCAAGCTCGAAAGGAGGCTTAGCGCGGTATTTTTGCCCCTTTATCGAATATCTAGAAGATGTCACTGACTTGTCACCGTAAAGGAATTGTGGGTGTCACACGTTGACACTAATGGCTAGTACTGTCATCCTTTTATTTTGGCAAGCAGGTCTTTCTAACTATCGTGGTGTTTCGAGACCTCGTTAGTTGTCGAACCCTGCAATTGGCGTGGGCCTTCAAAGCCGTTCCTGGCCCCGCAACCGTCTTTTTCATTCGGCTTGGGCCATCAAAACCGTCCCTGGCCCCTTTCAGCACAGCCGTGCTTTTAAGTCGGCGTGGGCCTCTTTCAGAATGGCGTGCATTCCTCCGACACTATTATAACTGCCTATTTACTAACTGCACGTTTTGTGCATGGAGCTCGGTGAGCACCTAGACTTCCAAAATGTTTTTTTTTTAGATTTTGGTTTGTCTTGTCAATGACCAGGGCGAAAAAATAAGTGGCCGAAATCCGATGAGAAAGGCAGATTTGGGGGTACCCTACCTTTTAAGCCCCGTCACATATGGTCGACCGCCGCCTTTGGGCCCTACCAATCATTTTCGGAAAACGACACCCCTGACACTGTCGCATCATGAAAGTCAAACAATTCATTACTTTGTTATATTCAATCGGATATGTTTCGAGTCAGTAGCGTGTAGCTGGTCAGTAGTCGGCAGCTGTCGGACGTTTCCATTCGCATTCGGCACAGGGTATAGTGGCGTTCCCCAGCCTGTGTTGACGTTCCTGTCCTCGCTCTCTGCCACTCTTTCCCTCGCCACCTGTCCAAATTATGCATCTAATGTCATTTGATGAAAAATAAATATTTGGAGATTTAACCTTTCAATCCAGGGCACAATCTCACCACGTGAATCTCACAAGGGCCGTAATTTTCGAAGCTACCGCACCGAAGTAAACCCATGGGGCAGTTTCGGTTTTACCGCAAATTCTTCATGCGCAGCGCGCTCACGGCCCGAAAGCAAGTAAACAAGCCAAACAACCAGCTGATTGTCGTCGGTTCCAGACTGGTTATTGATTCGCCTTTTTTGAATCGATTCAAATATTGATTTATTTGTTTTTTTTTTCTCGATTCAATCACCGTTCGATTCCTTCAAAAATTTGCTAAATCGATTCCTTTTGATTCAGAGAATGAAAAAAGGAATAATTCACGTTTGATTCAGCCAAAAAGTTATTGAACGATTCTTGTTTTATTCAATTAAGAAAGCTCTGATTCAGGGATAGTATTGTATTTGTTATGTTACGTTCTTTTTGTTGTTATGCAATTATCATCACATGGCAGTGTTGTTAATAATGAACTATGGTCACTTCAGTTTTTTTTTAAGTTCATGTATCATTAAATTTGTTGATTCAATCAACCCTGATTCCTAATGCGTTTGATTCAACCATGGCTTGTAAATCGAACAATCCTGACGATGAATCAAACCTTTTTGATTCAATAAATTTTGTATGAGTTAATCGTTCCAATCGATTGAATCACGGGTGAATCCAACACCAGTCTGGCCAGTTCTACCCCAAATATCTGTACCAAAATTACGGTAGACATTTGTACCGTAATCTCTAAATTTTGTACCAATTAATTTTGAAAACTGATTTTTTTTGGAAGTTCTAGACCTCGTACGGAAACGAAAATAGCACCATTCGATTCGCCGTGAAAAACTGCATCAGATAGACACCTTTTTAGGCCTTAACAACCAACTTCAAAATTTGACCTCACTTGACCAGACCTTGCCCTGACCTCGACCTGAAACTCATCCAGAGGTGGTCCATATCACTTATTGAGTGTGTCT